TCCTGCATTCCCATCTTTTGCACAAGTGGCAGGTTTTAGCTGAACCTGCTGTTTACTCCTTCTTGGACGTGCAGAGGAGATGGATGGTGTTACGCAGGTTTTGATGAGAAACCAGTTTTGATTTAAATTAGTGGTAATTGGAGAACTGAGTGTTTGCATCTCCTAAAATATGCAGCACCCCTGGACTGTGATCACTAAGAAGAGAAATAGCACCAGATGTTACATGTCTTGTATGCCTGGAGTCTGCCCTTTTAATATTCCAAGCTTTCCTTGGTTGAACAATTTTAGTGTATGAAAAAGAGCACAGGAAGAGCTGTATTCCCTGTCTTTTGGGAATGAAAAGTGATCAGACTGCTGGTACCTCTGGGTGTTTTCCAGGATCCATCTTAGGAGCAGGGAGAGATCAGGATGAGGTTTCCCTCCACTCCTCTCTGGGGTGCTGCAGTGGTCTCAGTTTTCTGAGATGTGGGGCTGGAGCAGACTCTCACCTTGTGCCTTGAACTCCTCCTAGGGAGTATTTTCCTCTGAAGTCTCTGCCTTTCTCATCCTTGTCCTTGGATGGAGCTGTGCTGATGAGGTTGATGCCTCAGGTTTGAGTTTTTCTATTTTTCACATTCTGTGCTGCTTTAATGTGTAGTTCTGGGCTTCATGTGAGGGCATGGTGAGCTCTCTGCCCAGAGCAGGGAGACAAAACAATTCCTGCTCTAGCTGGGAACCAGGGACAAATGATCCATCTCAGGCCTAAGAGCACCAACACCGGGCTGGAGAGAGAAAAACAAGAAGGATGAGATTCATAACCTAAAGCTGTAATGGGACAATGAACTGCAATATGCAAATGGAGCAGAAATGATAAAAGTGAGACACCCTGTGACTAGTCATCCATTTTGTGGCCATTTTGGTTCGTCTTGGGTGCAGCCCTGGCTGGGCTCTTGTGCTGCCCAAGATGTGTCCATTGAGAAGATCCTTTTAATCAATCCCTACTTTATTCTGTAACTCTGTCTGGCCTCTGTTCTAGGGCAGCCTGCACAAGGCATCAAGGTTGAGTATGGGCTGGTGTGTGAGCAGCTCTTGGAACCAGGGCAAACAGCTCTGTCAGGGCAATCCTCTGGCACCAGCCTTCCTAAAGGGGATAAGCTTCCAAGCAGAGCACCAGGAGGAGCCAGTTCCTTATGGAGGCACCACCCTGGTCCTCCCCTGAGGGAATTCAGTCTTCTGCTCTTCATCCCCCAGGGAATTCAGTCCTCTGCTCCTGATGCCTGAGGGAATTCAGTCCTCTGCTCCTCATCCCTGAGGGAATTCAGTCCTCTGCTCCTCATCCCCGAGGGAATTCAGTCCTCTGCTCATCCCTGAGAGAATTCAGTCTTCTGCTCCTCATCCCAAGGGAATTCAGTCCTGTGCTCCTCATCCCACAGGGAATTCAGTCCTCTGCTCCTCATCCCCAAGGGAATTCAGTCCTGTGCTCCTTATCCCAAGAGAATTCAGTCCTCTGCTCCTCATCCCAAGGGAATTCAGTCCTGTGCTCCTCATCCCCAGGGAATTCAGTCCTGTGCTCCTCATCCCCAGGGAATTCAGTCCTCTGCTCCTCATCCCAAGGGATTTCAGTCCTCTGATCCTCATCCCAAGGGAATTCAGTCCTGTGCTCCTCATGCCCAGGGAATTCAGTCCTGTGCTCCTCATCCCCAGGGAATTCAGTCCTGTGCTCCTCGGAGTGGGAGGGCTTTCTTGGGGAATCCTCAATTCCATGTGCAGCTCCCAGCACTCCTGCTCAGGGCTCCCTGAAAGCCTCATGGGCAGGCAGGGAGCAGGAGATGCTGAGGAATGAGTGGGTTTTTTCCCTAACAAAAAGCAGCGTTTGGGATGGAAGTGGCAGGGGGTGGGAAGGTTAATTTTGTTGTGGTGAGCTAGGTCAGGCATGGAAGGAGAGGCATTCAGGCCAGGAGCTTTCCCTCCCAACTCAGAGTGGGAATTTCACATGCTTTTGATTTTCAATGCCTTCAAGCAGAATACAACTCCCAGTCATTCTGGCTCGTGGAATTAAATTTAAATGTATAAAAAATAAGCGTCAGTCTCCCTCCAAGGCCAAATATTTGCTAAATATCAGTTTCTCTTTGTTTACAACTCTAAGTATCCATGGCAAATCCCTGTTTGTTTGCAGAAGAGTTCTTGACTTTGCGCATAAATTTTGTTTAGCTTTTCATTCTTCTGATGTATTACAATAAAACCTGTCCCCAACTGATAAATTGAGTATGTAAAAGTACAGACAATTCAACTGATTTTAAAAAGAGTTGAAATGCTTCTCAAACTCTGGATTATTTTTGATATCTGCCATAGATTAAGTAGGTATTCATCTGTTTTAAAAATATTTTTTAGAGAGTATAAAATTCAAATATTGTGTTCAGAAGCAGCTTGGGACAAAAATATCTCTGCTTTCTTGAATTTTTTATTCACTTCATAGAAGATCATTGTTCTGACAGAGCAAGGAGCTGAGAAATTTGGGCTGAATAATGGTTTATTTTGACCCCACCTGTGTCCAGTTTGAGGCCCCGAGCATAATGATGTGGAGTTGCTGGAGTGAGTCCAGAGGAGGCCATGAGGATGCTCCAAGGGTTGGAGCCAGGCTGGGAGAGCTGGGGGTGCTCACCTGGGGAGGAGAAGGCTCCAGGGAGAGCTCAGAGCCCCTAAAGGGGCTCCAGGAGAGCTGCAGAGGGACTGGGGACAAGGCATGGAGGGACAGGACACAGGGAATGGCTCCCACTGCCAGAGGGCAGGGATGGATGGGAGACTGGGAATTGGGAATTGCTCCCTGTGAGGGTGGGCAGGCCCTGGCACTGCCCAGAGCAGCTGTGGCTGCCCCTGGATCCCTGGCAGTGCCCCAGGCCAGGCTGGGCAGGGCTGGGAGCAGCCTGGTGCTTTGCTTGTGTTCAGTCACTGAGTTCAGACTGCCCTGGGTTTCTTCCCCTGCTCCTTCCCCTTCTTGCCCAGACTGTGCTGTGTGTGCCAGTGCTGCCAGCACCCCTGTACCCACACTGCAGGGAAGAGGTAAATATATTCCTTGGCTAATTATCTGTGCCGTGTGAGAGCAGGAGCTTTTGCACATGAGGTGGTTTTCATCCATGTGTGGTTTTTGTTCAGTTTGGGTCTTAATTTAGGTCTGTACCACATAGGATGAAGACAAATCCATGTGCATATGTTAAAATCTGACCTTTGGTTTGCTCTCTTCACTCGCTAATGTGGTTTAAAATATTTTAATATATAGCTTCCCAGGCCCCAGATCAATAACCCAATGGGTCTGAAATGACAGAGTGCTACGATATTCCCCTTTAATTTAAACATGATTAGCTGATGAAGGTTATGATCAATATGCTAGGGGAAGATAAATTAATTGATATCATCCTTTCAGGATGATAAGAGGCCTATTGGAGGTGGGATGTAACTAATGAAGCTGCTTCTTCATATATATGAGCCATTCTTTATCCAATGTATTCTCACTAAATCATGGTTATGCCATCATTCATTTACATGAAAAACATAAGCCACAGACCAGTTTGTTATTAAAATTGCATTAATTTGAGAAGAAACTATGCTTACACTGTCCCTGCCTGTGCTGTAATGTAGTGAGGGAAAATAATCTTGGAATTTACATAATTGTCCTTTTGTGTTTGCTGAACAAGACAGACTGGGCTCTGTTGGCTTAATTCCAAGGATTTCCTGGGGAACTTTTTAAGGAGATGCCAGTAAATGTCACTGGCTTTGGTGGAGGTGCTGCAAGTGACTGCAAATGCCTTGGCACAAGTTTTGTGAAGTGCTTCCCTTCATGGAGAAACCTGCATGCAAGGAAGCTGAATTTAGTTAGTGCCATTTTTGATTAGCCACTACACAAGTACCTGTTTCCAAAGCCTGAAATTTTGATTAGTTTTTCATTTGTGGCTCAAAAGGTAGCCATACATTTTATTTTTATGTATTTATGACATAAAAAAGAGCTCTTTCCAAAGGCTTTAGCTGAATTAGCAGCATGAGCTCAAGTTCCAGTGTGTGATGGGATGATTTCTGAAATGGTTTGAGTTGTTTAAATTGAAAGATTGTAGGAGAGGTTTGGAAGTTGCTGCATTCCACATTAGTTCTGTTTGATCTTTTTTTATTATGGGTCTGCCAGGCTGTGTATAGAGATGTTAATGGCTCTGATCCCTGTATCTGTTTGATAAATGCTGCTTTTTCTCCCATGCTGAAGAGAATGTCTTAATAAATTGAAAAAAAAAGAAAAAAGAAAAAAAAAAGGCATTTTTCCAGCTGTGCTGCTGCTGTGAAAGAATAAAAGCTAAAATTAGAACTAATGATACAGCTTCTTTCCATAAAGAATTTCACTGGGATGTGTGGTACCACCAATCTAGGTATTTATTCACTGTCATGAACCCTTTATCAGTTCTAATATTGCAGTTCTAATATTCCAGTTCTCTTTGGTTTGGGCTCCACAGTGGATTGCCCTGGTGCAATGGCTGATAAAAAAAAAAGGGAAATCCATCTTATTCCTTGGCAGCAGAGAGCAGGTATCTCCTGTCTGCCAGGAGAATATCCCAAAGAAGAATGGGAAATGTTTGCTGCCATGAGCTTTTATGGAAGACACAAGCCTCAGATGAGTCTCTCTCATCTGAGAGTGATGAGCTTTGTTAGTAGTGTGGGATCACAAACACAGAGGGGACTTGGTACAGAATTCCTGGTGTTGCTTTTTGTAATTTTTCCCTGAGTCCTGTGGTGCTCACGTGGTGGGATGAGACTTCTGGAGGCACATTTTCCAGAAGTCTCATTCCACCAGGAATGAGAAGGAGTCACATTTCCCAGCTGGAGTTTCCCGTGGAGCACCGTGGAAAACCAGCATCCTTCCCCTTCCCTGAACCACACTGAGCTTTTGGAGCAGGCTTTGGTGGTGCCCCTCAGTTTGTGTGTGCTGCTCGCTGTGTGTTTGCCCCCTGCCTGACCTGCCTGGCTGTTGTGTCTCCCCTCAGTGGCCCAGAAGATCGTTTCCACCAAGAAGAAGCAGCAGCTCTCCATCGGACCCTGCAAGTCTCTGCCCAACTCTCCGAGCCACTCCTCCGTGTGTTCTGCCCAGGTTTCTGCCGTGCATATCAGCCAGGTACAGACAAAATCAGTGCTTGGGAAAGGGGCTGATAAGCTGCTTTTCATCTCTGGTGTGTTTCCTGCCATTTCAAGTGCTCTCCTTGCTGCTGGAGAGGTAGCTGTCATTTTATTCATGCTGCCAGCGCTCTGTGGTTTGAAGTGATATTTGAATTTTTTTTTAAGATTGGCTTGAGTTCAAGAAACAAAGTAGCAAAGCAGAATAATTTAGCTTTAAAGCCTGCTTGGATTGATAAGCCTGCTTTGATCATTCTCATTGATACCCAGCAGCCTGCAGGCCAGTCATTACAGTTGCAGGATTTGCTGTGCTGTGGTTCAGCATCCCCTTGCTGTGTTTTTGGTGGTTACTCTCACTCAGCTGTGCTGAGCTGGTGTATCCCTGTGGTAGAGTGCTGGAATTTTACACTCAATGGTATTTTGAGAAACATGAGGTTAATACCAACTATTTCTGAACATTAACATATGGTTAACACCAACTTTTACCCACGTGTGTTGCATGCTCCCCTGTGTTTTCCTGACAATGCCCTTCCTCAGTGTCTTTGTTTTCTAGTGTCAACTGGGCTTGTCCCCAGCTGGGATGGATATGAACTGAATGATGTCAGGCACCCACAGCCATTCTGGTGTGGTTTTCAGTCTAAACTCAATAGTGCACAGGTTATTTTGCAGTCCTGAGCCAGCCATGTGAGGATTTGTTTTGGCTGTGGACCTTTGTCCCACACAGTGCCTGCTTTTTGGCAGAAGGGAGTAAATTGTCCCACTGGGTTATCACCCTAAAGATGCAGGTGCCAGTTTAGTCTGCAGAGTTCTCTGCTGTGACTTACTGAGTCCTGATCCAACCTCAGGCTGTGGCTGTGGCTTTTGCTGATGAGCCCAAAGAGAATGCTGGAGTTCAGCCCCCCCTTTCTAAAGCAAGTCCTGACTGAGGTGTGTTGCTCCTTAGAAGAGCCCTGGCACCTCCTGGTGAAGAACAAGTTCTCCCATGGGAGACCTTCACCCCTTTCCAGGTTTCCTCACCTGGTCTGTCTCTGACCACAGGCCCTTGGATCTCACCCTCTCTGGGGGCATTTTTTGTTAATGAAGCTTTTTTTTATGAAGGACATCAAATATCTGGGGGCTCACTGGCTTCCTACCCAAGTCTAGTGTGAAGGTCAACAGCAAACACCAAATTCTAGAGCAGTGCCATCACCTATGCAGCAAACTTCTTGCCAGTGATAAGAGCTGTTTGGGAAAATCAAGGCAAGGTAGCTTTTGTGATAAGGCTCCCTAGATTCCGTTCCAATAAAAGTGAAATAATGTTCTTTACTGCCTTTGGCAGGTGTCATAATTACCTGAAGGGGCAATTGCATCACCAGTCAAAGATGTCTCTCTTCTGAGACTGATGTCATGCCTAAAAGTAGAGGCCAGCAATCTGTTTCATGTCTTATCTCCTTTGTGCTACACTTAAAGGCAGTATGACCTTGTTTAAGGGAAGGAAGCTGAATCCTTATCCCAGACTTGAAAGAACTTTGCAACTGCAATTCCAAGTTTAAGATGATCTGGGGCAAGATTTGCCATCTCTGATCTTGGCTGGAAGACTGGCTGGTGTCTTGCCCTTTGGAACATCTCTCTTGGCGTAATGATGTTGCTGTGAAGATTTCCTCCATGAATCAGCCCCGTTAGCGGTGCAGTGCCCTGCCACTTGCATTCTCCACAGGAGCAGAGGCCTTCAGAGGCACTGCCTGCACACAGCACTTCAGCTAGAGTCAGATATTGTTCCTTCTCTGGTTGGATCATCCCGGGGATTGAACTCCTGCAAACTCTCCAGATGACTCTGCAGTCAAAAGCTTAGGCTTTAGAGAGGGAAAAAAAAGGTATCGAGTGTCACCTTAACCAGAGTAGTCCTTGGCATACCTTGGGGGGAATTGTAAGGCTCAGCACCATCCAGGGCTCCTGTGGTTTCAGTCTGCCACGTTGGGCAGGCTTGCAGCAGTCTGGTCTGGTGGAAGGTGTTGGAATAGGATCAGCCTTGAGCTCCCTTCCAATCCAAACCACCCTGGGATGCTGTGACAGACTGGCCTGTGTGCGTGGGTGCTTCTCCATCTGCATGCCCAGGAGTCTGAGGTGGTGCCTTCAGAAAATGAGATCCCTTCAGAAAATGCTCTCAGGAATATCTGTAGTTACATATTTCCACAGGCCTGTCCCACACAGTAACATGCTTCCTCTTCCAAAGACAAAATCCACTTTTCTTTGTAGTAGATGCTGCTTAATTCTCCTTCTGGCTTAGTTTTTAACATGTATGTCAGTCAAGGGAAAGGTTTTCCTTGAAAACCTTTTAAGTACCTCAGGTACCTCTCTTGGCTTTCAGGGCAGCACAGAAAGCATGGAAAGAATTTTATTCTCAAATCCAAGTATTATCATTCATGAGCATGATGGACAGAGCTGTTGTATGCTCCGTCAACAAGAGGGATGGTGCAACATTGCTTACATTCAGGTATTCCTGAGTTAATAACTCCAGTCACAGCCCACTGTCTGGCTTTTTGGAACACTTCAAGAGGTAGACTGAGCTGTTTAGAGGGGAAGAAATGTTATGCAGTGGATTGGAGGCCTCTTGTTGGCCACAGGGCATCTTGGAATAGGTCTTTAATTTACTTTTTACAGGTACAGACCAGTCACTTCTGTATCTCTCTGCTCTGTATGTCTATCCCTCTTTTCATTCTCACATTCCCCTGTGCCTTGACAATCTTCCTAGGCATGATATGCTTGTATACCATGCTAAGCCTAATTTCAAAGAAGAATTGAGTTCCCTTTTACTTCACAAAGCCCCACAGAACCATTCCTTTTCCCTACATTCATCCTGGTGCTAGAGGAGTTGCTTGTCCTTTACACCTGACATATCAGGAAGGCAATTTTAAGCTATTAACTTAGCAGAATAGTGCCAATAAAACAGTTCCAAAGGGCTGTTTCCTCTGCCCAGGCCCTTGGAAGTGGAGATCATCTGGTTCCCAAACCCCTGAGGCTGCTCTGCCCCTCCTTTGGTGCTCAGTGCCTCAGTGTGGGGCAGCATAACCTGCTCAGGGGTTACCTGCAGCTGGGCTGGGGATTGCACTGTTGGAAAAACAGCTGGAGAAGCCTCTGGCACATCAGCTGCTGTTGCTGTTGGTGTGGAAGGCTCCAGGCCCCTGTCAGGAGCTGTGCAGAGCCACAAGGGCCCCCTGAGCCTCCTTTGCTCCAGGCTGAGCCCCTGCCCAGCTCCCTCAGCCCCTCCATTCCCTGCCCTGGACACACTCCAGCCCCTCAGTGCCCATCCATGGGGACTGCAGTGCCAGGAGTTGTGTGTCCTGGTCAGCAGTGCCATTCTCCAAGGAGATTTCCATTGTTCCTGGGAAGATGTGGAGCTTAACAGCCACTACAGTGCTGCAGCTCAGGTGTGGCTGCCACACAAGCTCTCTCCTTACTACCTGTTGTAAACCTGTATGATGCATTATTCATGTTTGCACAATGCCTTCAGACAGTTTTCACTACAACACGATTGTCCAAAAACGTAAATTAAATTACTAAAAGCAAAGTGCAGTCAGCTTGGCCATCCATTATTTCATTCTGTGTGAGACCTGATTGTTGTTAATTAAGCTTTTTAGAAATTTTCTGGAATATTAAAACTAAAACTAAACAAGGAATGATAATGTATTTAATGCCACATATTTCACAGTCCTTTTGAATTTACAGGGCTGTTTCTAAGTAACCTGATATTTATCTAGAACAAGCATTGTAGATAGCTCCCTGTGAGGGTGTCAGACCCTGGCACAGGGTGCCCAGAGCAGCTGTGGCTGCCCCTGGATCCCTGGCAGTGCCCAAGGCCAGGCTGGACAGGGCTTGGAGCACCCTGGGACAGTGGGAGGTGTCCCTGCCCATGGCAAGGAGTTGGAATTAGATGATCCTTGGGGACCCTTTCAACCCAAACCATTCTATGGTTTTTGCAACCGTTCTCTCTGGTTGTGTTTCTCATTGTCCCAGCCAGTGGCTTATTTTGAAATCACCTCAGAGTTTTATTTCCAAAGTTGGAAATCCACTGGGCTTGGTGTGTGAGAAGAGAAGCATTGCCTGCAGGAATTCTTTTATAGAAACTCCCTGTGTCTTAGGGGAATAGAATATCCAACAGGTTTGTGTTTTCCTTTAGGAGTTACTTATAAATCATTTAGAAATCCAGGAGACAGCTGCAAAAAGTGTAAAATGATGCTATAAATTGATGAAGGATTTAAAAGATAAAATTGTAGGGAATCCTTCATGGTCTCCACCTGGAAAGTAGGCTCTTAGGGCATAAATCTGTTAATTTCAATTAAAAAAAATTAGATTTCTTTGCCACCCTTCTCAACTGCAACACATCCAGTGGTTTGGGAACAAGCTGCTACAGAGACAGGAAGAGCAAATGTGGGGTAATTGAGGCCACTTCTACCCAGCTTGTCCTGCTCATCTGTCCAGTGTTACCATTCTCCATTAGGACACTAAAAATGATCATTCCAGCTATGTAATTTCATCTCCTTTGTTTTGTACACATCTCCCAGTTCTGCTGTTGCTTCCTCTGGGACTTGAGAGTGTTGTAGGAAATGTCTCTGGCCCTGCCCTTGCAGTGCCTTCCCCTCTGCTCCCTGCTCTGGGAAAGCTGCAAGGACCAGAGGAGAGCTTGGGACATGCAGGATTTCAGCTGGGGCTGTAAGGGGTTGTCTCCTGCTTTTCCACCATCCTCACTGGTTACAGCTTGAGGTCCCCACCCCCAAGGAGCATGGGGGAAGTGCCATGAAGCATCTTTCTCCTCAGGAATTCTGGAAATACCCTCTTACCCCCTTTGCTCACTTCCTCCAGGAATCTTGACTGCTTTAAAGATGGCCTTTCCCCCTTCTCTGTGCATCCCAGACATTTCTTTTCCCTCCAGAATTACCTGTGAGTTACTGCCCAGCCCCTTCATCCACTGCTGCTCCATCCCCAGCAGGCGGAATGTTCTCTGTTGTCCTGCCCCAGTCCCCCATCAGCACACAGAGCATCTCCTCCTTCAGTGGTGCTTTTAGTACTTGTTTATGTCATGTCTAGAAAAAAATAATACTTTTTTCTTAATCACCTTTTGGTCCTTTTCATTCTGTCTGGTTTCCTCGCCTTCCTCCTTTCAGGAATTTGTTACCTCTGTTCATTTATTCTGTTATAGGCTCAAAGCTTTATTTCTTTCAGGACTAGGATGTAACATCAGAGTTTTGGCTGCTTCAAATAAATTGGAATCTCTTACTCACAAGTTTTGTATCTTTGCACCAGTGGCTTCAGCAAATCCTGTGCAGGGCCTGGAGTTGGACTCGATTGTCCTTGTGGGAGAGTCTGTGGTGCTTGGAATATGTGGGGATTTATCCAACCCCTTGGTAGCCATTTTACAACCCTGAATTGTTTTAATTTTCTTGATCAGCTCTCAATAATCTGGTGTCTCCAGAGTAGGTGTAACTCCATGGCACTGGGTATTTACAATTTAGTTTAGTAGAAATCCAGATTTGGAAGGTTTTCCCCAATGTTTGCTTACTTGTACACTAGAAAACAAATGAAACTGTTGCTGCCCAGTTAAGGTTGTACTGTGTAGAATGAAAATGTGCCTGCTGTATAAACAGAGCTATCTGAATATTCAAAACTAATGGTGGGGGAGATGTTCAAAGGCTTGGAATAGAAATGTGTGGAAAAGTGGCAGCAGGGCAGCCCTGCTGAGCCCCTGAGCCCTGGCTGCACTTCTGCATCAATCTGGAGTAAATCAGGAGTAAATAAGATACAGCTGTGGATTGTCATTGCTTGAAAGCAGCCTGCCACTGTTTAAAACTCCCTTTAATCCTTGCAGACCAGTAATGGAGGAGGGAGTTTAAGTGATTATTCCTCCTCTGTCCCATCAACTCCAAGCACCAGCCAGAAGGAGCTGCGGATCGATGTTCCTCCCACTGCCAACACTCCAACTCCTGTGCGCAAACAGTCCAAGCGCCGCTCCAACCTCTTCACGGTGAGTCAGCAGGGACACTGCCCTGGGGACAGCCTGAGCCTCAGCCAGGGACACTGCCCTGGGGACAGCCTGAGCCTCAGCCACTGCTGCCCTGGGGACAGCCTGAGCCTGAAACAGGGACACTGCCCTGGGGACAGCCTGAGCCTCAGCCAGGGACACTGCCCTGGGGACAGCCTGAGCCTCAGTCACTGCTGCCCTGGGGACAGCCTGAGCCTCAGCCAGGGACACTGCCCTGGGGACAGCCTGAGCCTCAGCCACTGCTGCCCTGGGGACAGCCTGAGCCTGAAACAGGGACACTGCCCTGGGGACAGCCTGAGCCTCAGCCAGGGACACTGCCCTGGGGACAGCCTGAGCCTCAGTCACTGCTGCCCTGGGGACAGCCTGAGCCTCAGCCAGGGACACTGCCCTGGGGACAGCCTGAGCCTTAAACAGGGACCTGCTGCCCTGGGCACAGCCTGAGCCTCAGCCACTGCTGCCCTGGGGACATCCTGAGCCTCAGTCACTGCTGCCCTGGGGACATCCTGAGCCTTAAACGGGGACCTGCTGCCCTGGGGACAGCCTGAGCCTCAGTCCCTGCTGCCCTGGGGACACTGAGCCTCAGTCCCTGCTGCCCTGGGGACACTGAGCCTCACCCCTCTGCTGCTGGGCTGCTCTGATGGCACAGGAGTGCTGCAACCGAGCTGTGGACTCAAAAACAAGAACATTCTGGAATTGTCATTGGGTGGTTCTGTTTGAGACTTAAACAGGAGTGCTTTTCCTAGGCAGAGAGGCTGGAGGTTGTTCAGCCTGGAGAGGAGAAGGCTCCAGGGAGACCTTAGAGCCCTTTTTAGTGCCTGAAGGTGCTCCAGGAGAGCTGGAGAGGGACTGGGGACAAGGATGGAGGGACAGGACACAGGGAATGGCTCCCACTGCCAGAGGGCAGGGATGGATGGGATATTGGGAATTAGGAATTGTTCCCTGTGAGGGTGGGCAGGCCCTGGCATTGCCCAGAGCAGCTGTGGCTGCCCCTGGATCCCTGGCAGTGCCCAAGGCCAGACTGGACACTGGGGCTTGGAGCAGCCTGGGACAGTGGGAGGTGTCCCTGCCATGGCAGGGGTGCCACTGGATGGGCTTTAAGCTCCTTCCCAAACCAAACTATTCCATAACTACCCTGTTCTGCTTTTATTACTATATACAATCAGTTTACTCTTTTCTTCTCCAGGGCTAAAAAGATGGAGATTAAAGTAAATTTTTTTTTCTTTCCAAACCCCCTGTTTTTTGCTTCACTGAGAGGCCAAAAATCCCCAAATCAAAAAAAATCAAATAAAAATTTGCCTGGTGCAATCTGACAGATCTTTGTTGTGCAGAAGTAGTTTTGGAGATGCTAATGAAGCCCTGAGTGAAGGTTGCCTTGGTTTAAGCCTCTTGCTGAAAGCTCTGGGATCTGTTGCAGGTGTAACTGTGGTTTGTAAGCAGTTTTTTGACAGGTCACACATGTCACAGCAAACTCAGAATGGCTCTGGGCTCTCATGTAACTCCCTTGGGGGCTGTAGCTACATGTTAGCTGTGTTTAGGAACCCACAACTTTCCTGTCAACATGGAGAATTTATGTATTTTATTCCAAAGGTGATATCATGCTCACTTCCCACATACAAACCTGTAAAAACCATTTCCTCAGACTGAGGGAAATCTGAGCTCTCCACCTTCAGCAAGTAGAACATTTTGGCACCATTTTGGAGCTCTGAGTGACAGCACAGAGCCCCAGGGATCCTGTGTCACTCCCAGCAGAGGTATTCTGATTTAAACCCACATCTCCCAGTCCTGTGAAGGGAGGGGAAATCATGCATTTGTGTTTGGGTGCAGATGAGTGCCTGGGAAAAAGAGTCCCAGCTTTGATGCCGATATTTGATAACAGCCGTGCAGATTCCTTCCCTTGGTGGGAATAACCTGGAGCTGGGTGGGAGAACTGCAGATTTCCCAGCCCCACTAGATGTCAGTGTCAGCCCAGAAACCAGCAGCGTCAGAGCTCAGGAAGCAGAGCTGGTTTGCTGCTGCATCCCTGCAAACATCACCATCCATCCATGGCCGGGCTGGAGGATGTGTGAGGGGCTGCCAGGGCTCTGCAGGTGCTCTTGGCATCTGGGAAACTGGGAATGCTTCCGTTTGGAGCAGCTGTAAATCTGAGAAAGGGAGGAGAGAAAAACAGACCCATCTACAGTCACAGGAAAGGGTGGAGAAGAATGTTAAGTCAGCTGTAAACAGACTAAATCTCTGGTTTGTGATAATTAGTGAGAGCCATATTTACTGACATGAGAGGGTGTTGATAGTTGTCTTAGTGTCTGATAACTGGGAAAAATAATAATAATTTGCCTTTGCAGATTTAGTTATGTCTTTTAAGGTGGGTGTAGTGAGGCTGTTTAATGAGTTGCCCTGTAATCTATGTGGTGAAGTACTTAACACCCACTCTGCTGTAACCCAGCTTCTGTGCCAAGTTACAACCTGGAATTATTTAATTGAATAAATAGACAACTACACAGAAACTGGTGGTTATGAACAGAGTGTGTAATTAAAGTATTTTACTGTTTAGCTCTGGGTTTCTTGCTGTGCTTCCCTTCCCAGTCACTTGTGCCTTTATCTCTTACAGAATCAGATCTATTTCTGTTTAATAATTGCAAATTACCCCTTGTTATCTAGCACAGGTAATCTGTTCAGTGATCTTTAGATCTTTTGTTGTTGGAAGAGGACTGGGCTAAGTAGAAAATATTTGATTCCTCTTAATTACAGTTTTTGAGTTGGAATAGGGATGAGAATTTTTAAGCATGTTCAGTGCATTAAATGCAGCATCTCATCTTTTTACATTGAGTATTAATGTTTGTTGTAAAGCTGTGGTTGCAGCAGCTGATTTTCCCCTTAAGTGATAAGATAGATGAAGTATTAGAAGAGTTTATGTCCTTTGTTTGGACAGTGTGATAACAGGACCACCAAATAATCCTGTATAGGGCAGGGGAGAATTTGAAATGCATTTATGAGGTTCACTGAGCTGATTCTGACCATGTCTGATCCCACACTGGGTGAGGGAATTTCTGGCATCAAAAGGTGCATCACCTTTCCCACATTCAGTGTTACCTGTTTTACATATTTACAGAATTCCAAGGGAGTTTTCCAGACTTAAAATGAGCTCCATGTCTCAGTATCTGCTGTTAGAGATGAGTATTTTATTTTTGGGGTGCTCAGCACTGTTGATCTGGGTCTGGTTGTGCCCAAACTCAGATGTGACATCTTGGGCCAAGTTTTATGTGCATTAATCTGTGAGTGACTTGCAGGGGAAATCACTCCAATGATATTTGTGCAGGTGCTTTAATTTTTCCAGACCTTTTTTGGTTTGCTGGCACCAAGTTTTCAATAGAACCATTTATTGTGTAGATGTGCCATCAGAAAAAGTCCTGGGAAGTACTGCTCCAGTGTGGTTTGGAGTGGATTTTTTTCTGCTAGGATATAAGACATATTGTGTGTGTCATAGGTACAAAAGCATAAAAGATCAGATTTCTGTTTCACTGCACAATTTATCTTTATAAATAGCGGAGCGTGCGAAGATTCTCCCCTGGAAACGTTAGGGATTCTGTGACTGGAGGGAATCTGCAGCTAGAAGGGAATCTGCCCAGCAGAAATCCCTACATTTCTGTACTTTTGGCATTTACCAGTGTTTTGCATGTAGGCTTTTCCCTTCCATGTGCAGCATGTGATTTCCAGCTGCAGTAACTTTTAGGGAATGGTGATGATTTAAAACCAGAAATGAAAAACAGCGTGTAGATATTCAGCCTGCATTTCAGAGGCAGGCTTCTTTCTCTAAAAAAAAGTCAGATAAAAAAGAAACATTCAAGTTGACAACTCCCCTCCCAAGGATTTGGGCACCTTCACTGAGTTTCTTTACAATGTCACTTACGGGCGCCTTGCGCCATTGAAGCTTTGTTTTGCCTCGTATTCTTGGGAAGTGGCACTTTGAGAGGCAGAAATCTGTCTTGAAGGACGAGGAACAATAGTTATCCTGCACGCTGGATTTCACCCCTCCCACTTGTTTTGCTTGCTTTCATTTGTTCTTTGTTTAATTCCCCGGCACGCCATTCCATTGCCCCCAACCATAGTAACTGGCCATCGCAGCCCGTTCCCGGCAGCGCGGCATCCCCGCTGCGCGAATGTGCTGCTCGTACTCGCTCCCCTCCCTCCCCTCACCCCCCCAGGGCAGCTGCTCCTGGGTTTTATTCTTCCTCCCACCCCTTTGTGGCACGGGGGAAAGGGGCATGAGCGATCCACGCTCCCGCTTCTCTCCTGATTTCGGCGTCTCTTCCCGCCGGAGCGGGCTCTGGCGCGGCCGCGGTTTGAAAGGCACGCGGAACCGTTTTCCCATTTCCCATATTGTGTGAGTAATGTTCCCATTGGAAAGTAATGGAGTGAAGTTGTCACTTGTCAGCGCAGTTATTAAGGAGGATGACTCTCAGGTCTTCTTTTTGTAATAAAATAAATCTGTCAAATTCACCGCTGCGCCCGTGCGTTCTGTCGCAATAGCGGGCTGCGATCTGAATAACTTCTTCACATTCCCAGAGAACTTGAGAAAGTCATGAAGGGAGCGCTGTGACATCACTCCTTCCAGCCTTGGAGGAAGCCAGGATAAAGCAACTCGGGTTTTAGACATTGGTAGAATTCTCCTCGTGCTAATTTTTTCACACTGTGTTCAGATAACTTTTTCCAGTCATTGGCTTTTCTTGCAGTTGCAACTTTCTAACCGTCCCAAAGCAGAAAAAAAAATAATGATTTGAAGTCCATATGGTCCAATCCAGCATTATAAAATCATATTTCCAAATAGTTGCTGACATTTCTAAGAGCCACACAGGTGTGAATTAAATCTATGCATGGCTATTTTAAATTTTTTTAATGAGGAGATGGCACATTCATTCCCCTTTGGAGCTGCTGTTGGAAACTTCAGAAATGTGTCCTCTGATGTTGTGGGTCTTCAGGCAGCGAAGCTGAAACTCTTTAAACCCAAATGCATTTCAAACTAGTGGATGGTTGAAATTTATGGGTGGTGGATGGGAAGTTTATTCATTTTCAGGATGGTTGTGTACTCATGTAGATTCAATTTTGAGCCTATATTTACCTGACACAGTATTTTTTAATTGCCCTGAAAGAAAAAAAAAGGCAAATAAAAGCATCCTCTGTGTGCATTTAATGGAGCACAAACTTTTCTTTTCGCTCTGCAGTCTCGGAAAGGGAGTGACCCAGACAAAGAGAAGAAGGTCCTGGAGAGCAGAACAGACAGCATTGGAAGCGGCCGTGCAATCCCAATTAAACAGGTAATGCCGAAATAGTTGTATTTTATTTTTTTTTTCTCTTGCCTGCTTTCCATAGTTGGGAGACAAGACGCACACCTCGGGTCCGGGCAGGCCGAGCGGCCGCCCGAGCTGCGTTTGATGTGCGCCGCTGATGAATGTGGAAGTCACTCACTTGACATCAATTAGGAGAGGTTCCTATGTGTATTAAAATAGGATCATTAGAATAAGAAGAGGGAAAATGTGACAACAGGCCTAATGAAGTGCAGTCTGCCGGCCTGCATATGGAGCGGGTTTCTAGGCTGTGCTGGCTTCAAAGCTGCCTTTGTAGAGGGGGCTTTGATTGGGCCGAGTGCTGCCAGGCGCAGGGTAAATCAGATCGCTCGACAAGAGCCCCTTGTGATGGCAGGAATAGCCTGATGTGGCCCTAATTTGCTACCACAGACGGACATCTGAACACAGTTTCAGGCTGCTCCCTAACAACGAGGCAATTAGTTGTGATAATCATGGCCGGTGTGTCAGCTGCGCGCTCTTGTTTGTAATTTGCTAATGAAGGAATTGTAACTTTGATTAGGTTCAGTTTCATTTAGACCTTATTATATAAGAGAACGTTTACAGCTGTAATGTGTGGCCTTAATTAAACTTTCTCATTACACAACAGGACTTGAAGCCGAGGATTTGTTTTGGTCTGTTTTTACTAGCCTAGATGCACTTTCATTAGCCTGGAAACTCGATGCTAAATTGTAGCTGGGAACACTCCTTTGAAAGGCAAAAGCAGTGCCAGCCTTGGATGGGAAGTGTTTGGGGAATGAGATGATTTACTTGCTCAAATGAAATGGCACTGGGTCCGTGTGCTTGAGATCTCCACATTCCCATGGAATGCTTCTCACACAGTTTCTCTGTCAGTGTTTCCAAGTGTTTACTCACGTGTTAGAGTTGCCTTGCTAGAGATGAGCTCCCTTTCTTTTCCACTTATTTTCTTTCCAGTTGTTTTGGTGCCTTTCCTGCCTTCCAGAAGCTCATTTGCCTCTCCTGATCTTCCCTCAGCCTGTGCCTTATCTGCCAGGCAGCCCTGGATGTCCTGTGTGGAGCTGGGTTTGCATATTTTGGGGTGTTTTGTGTTTTTCCTCTGTTTCTGGATGTGAGGAGGAGTTGATTTTGTACCCTCAGCTATCAGCTGTGATTCTTCTTCCTAAAGTCACTCTGAAAGACCTTTTGGGACCATCAGGCAGCAAAAATGCTGTGGTGTGTGAATCTCTAGTAGGCAAATTTTAATCAAGCATGCTGCAATCCAGAAGAGCAGTTTGAAAGCAGAGGAGTTCAGTATTTGGCTCTGCATTCAGGGGAGGAGATTCCAGGCATTTAAAACAAGCTGCAATTTTATTTTCCTACAGCTTTTGTATGGTACAGGATGGGTTAGACCGGCTGCAATCCTTTTGGGTAATGCTAATTAAACAAAAGTGCAGCTGAGAATGTAAAACTGAGGAATAGATGTGCCAGTATTTATTCCAGGCATACCTACTATTCTCTCCTAAAATGCTGTTGTATGGAAATTATTTGATTGAAAATACACTCATAGGAAGAGCATTGTAAGCTAAACATTGTGAGTGTGATTGTGCCACGGTGTGTTGTAAAGAAATATCCCTTACAATATCTGGAATTTCTGTATGGAAAAGCTCTCCTTGCAGCCCTGCTCGTGTACCAAATATGACCAATATTTTGGGAACGTGTCCCCCTTGTTACTAAGCCCAGTTATGGTAATTTCATTTTGTCACGTACAGGCCATTACCCACAAACCCTTGACGTGCAACTCAGCAGGTCCCTCCTGTTCTTTGGGGTGGGAGTTGGTGGTTTTTGCAGTGCTGCAGGGTGGCTGCTCCCAGTGGGATGTCACATCACTCTCAGATGTCAGGAGCAGAGATTTTGGAGGCCTGGTCAGTAGGGGTGGCTCCAGGTTGAGTTGCTGATACAGCCCCACGTTCTTGGGGGCTCGACAGGTGCCAGGTCCTGGGAGCTTGTGGAGTTTGTGAGGTCCCCAGGAGGAGGTGAGAGATGAGAATCTGACTCCATGTTCTCAGAAGGCTGATTGATTATTTTATGGTATTGTATTAAAGAATGCTATACTAAAACTGTATTAAAGAAAGAGAAAGTATACATCAGAAGGCTTAGCAAGAATGAAATAATAAAAACTCGTGACTGACTCTTCAGTCACCCTGTGACTGGTCATTAATTAATAACAATTCACATGGAACCAATCAAACATTCACCTGTTGGTAAACAATGTCCAAGCCACATTCCCAAGCAGCAAACACAGGAGCAGCAATCAGATAATTGTTGTTTTCATTTGTCTCTGAGGCTTCTCAGCTTCCCAGGAGAAGAAATCCTGGCAAAGGGATTTTTCAGAAAATGTGACAGTGACAGGAGTTCTCTGAGGCAGCAGAAATTCCTGCTGGGAAAGTTGGTGCCTTTTATGTCATGCCTTAACTGGGAATAAGACAGATGTGGAAGGGAACTTCTCAACCTAAAAATCTTCATGCTGCTGTTCTCCTTAAGATGAGAAACATCCTGATGTTTTCTGTGGCAAATGGAGTCACAGAGCCATAAAGGTTGGTAAAGCCTTGTAAGATCACCAAGTCCAGTGTTGGAACAAGCACTGCCAAGGCCACCACTAACCCATGTCCCCAAGCACCACATCCTCCTGGACTTTAAATCCACTGCCCTGGGCAACTGTGCCAATGCCTGACCACTCTTTCTCTGAAGAAATTTTTCCCAAGAGCCAACCTAAACCTTCCCTGGTGCAACTTGAGGCAGTTTCTTCTTGTCCTGTCTCTTGTTGCTTGGGATACTTGGGATAGAAGCAGAAATCTGCTTGCAGGCTGCAGCATTCCTAGGATTGCTGTGGGAGAACAAAACTCAACAATAACAACAACAACAAAAGCTTTACCAAAAGAACAAGCAAACAACAAAACCAAACCACACCCCACAAACAAATGATAAAACCTCCACTCAAAACAAGTTCCTTGGAGGCTGGAAATGTTCTGGTTTTGAGGAACAAGTGGAATCTGTCCCAGTGAAAGGAATGCTGATCATTCTGGGCCCCAGGAATGGACCTGCACAGCTGCCAGTGGGTTTGGGTCAAAAGAAGGCAGGAATTGCAACCTGCTCCTGCATTCCTGTTCTTGGTGCCTGAATCCCTGTGGGTTTAAGGGAAATCCCTGAGAGTTTGGGAGAGTTTGGATGGAACAACCTGGTCTAGGGCAAGGTGTCCCTGCCCATGGCAGGGTGTTGGAATGAGATGGGCTGGAAGGGCCATTCCAACCCAAACCATTCCAGGATTCCATGATGGAGGTGAAATTGTGAATAGCCTGCTTCCTTCCAAGGAAACACCTCATTCCTTCAGAGCAGCCTGGTGAAAAAGAGTTAATGTTCTTATTCTCTGTGTCCTTTCTACGTGGTAAAGCTGGTTTTTCACTGCAGTGCTAAATTTGGTTTTATTGGGCTAAGCCATATAAAACTGTCCTGATGGCCCTTCCTTGCTCCCAGCAGAAACCCAAAATGTAGGCAATGAAAAGCAGGTTTGTTTTTAAAGGGTGGCTGCTTGTTCTTGCCAAAATACTCTTAAAGTGAGTGAAATTTTGGGAAGGCAGGTTTCCTGGGGAGGTACCAGTACCTTGTGCATGCACAGCCACATCAGCATGTCTTAAATCCTGGACTTTAAAAAGATTCTGAGAACTGGGAATATCAGAAATTTTAAAAAATTACACAAAATTTCACTTGTGTGCTATTTAAAAATATTGTGCAAATCAGAGTCTGATAGAATCAGAGTCAGAAAAGGAGCAATCAGAGAAATCAGAAAAAGAGAAATCAGAGCAATATTGGCTTCAAGTTAAAATCCCCAGGAAGTTCTGTACTTCTGAGAAAGAGATGCTTAAACTAAGAATATTTAAGCTATTTTCTGTAGCATTGCTACAAATGCTCTTAAAGTGAGTGGCTTGGAAAATCCTCCCTCCAAACTCGTTTATTCTGGAAAAGAAATCTTGTTCCTGGTATCCTGAGTGAATATTTTGAAGCACACATTGGGCTGCCCACTTTTGGGGAATTGACTTTCTGGAATGGGAGGTTTTATGGTGTTTTGGGAAAATTACTTTGGTTTTTGTGGGTTTGGGAAATCTTTATCAGTAGGGCATATTCAAATTAAAAAAAAATGCACACAACAAGAAAAATAAAAGCAAGAAGCTCAGCTCAGCGGTGAGGGGGCTTGTCATGTATTAATTTTTCATTGCTGTGGAGAATTGTACATACATAATCACTTGATTGCAGTGGGAGTTAGCGAGCTCCTATGGTGTCATTTGCATAAATCTTGTTAAGTCAATGGCAGTTAATGAAGTACAAATGAGCCTGGAGAAGGTGACATGCAAATCGTGGGTGGCAGATGGGAGGTCTGTTTTTGGGATGGCAGCTGTGTGCTCTTTCTTTTTTTTTTCCTTTTTTTTTTTTCTTTTTATAATTTTTATTATTTTTTCCCTCTGTCCTGCCCCCATCCCCCCCAGACTGGAGTGTAAATAAATACATCAGAGCTGGCCTTGACTTCCTGCTCCCAGCCCTTCTTCTCTTTGCCCTTTGCACTTAATCACAGATGCTCACATCACTACATACTCCAGCCATGTAACCTTGGCTGTTGTTTTACCAAAAACTGGCCAAAATCAGTGTTTGCCACATTGCCTCCCCCCTTGGCTTACCCTGGGAGGTGCTGCCCCTCTCGTGCCCCCAAATTGCTGCATCATTTAGGGATGACAAACTGCAAGCCTGGCTTAGAAATAAATGTTCTAATGGTTAGTGCTGTATTGATGACACAGTGAAAAATTTGCCATCCATGACTTGCAAAGGTGAACTTCAGAATCCATTCCCTTCCCTCAGTTTGCAAATGGCTGGATTAATGGAGAAAGTGGAATATCTTATTCAGGCTTTACTTTTAGGTGATATTTCAAATGACCTTCTTTGCCTGCCAGCTTGGCATATTTAAG